TTTATGTAATAGCGTCAGGCAGCACGCAAAACATCCACCCACATATTAGGATCGATTTTAATTCGTTTTATAAACCTTCTCCTAAGTTATCTTACTACTGTTAACCTTTGCTGCTCACTAAAACTACTGGCCCACACCTCAGGCACTTTTCTTCCGAACTACTGCAGTTGCTTTTGGTTGTAGGAACTGGAGCTGTACATCGAAGTGTGGAATTTGTCAATCCTCCTCCTGTAAAGTCACATCCATCTGAAACTGGCTTCCGCTTTGAGCTCAGATGATGGGATGAGGACTTCTTATCTCTTTCACCAGCTGTCATCTCTGCGTTGGTATTACTATGAAGCAGACAGTTGAATAGAGGAATATTGCCAGTTTATTCGAACCTCTGCGATGCCTGTGTGTTGAGGATAGTGTCGATCTCTAATACCACTACTGCGTAGAGTCCTCCACGCCCATGGTTTTACGGTTCTACATTTTGATTCCTCTTCCCCTCCATCCTTACGTCCACTTCCACATCCAGTTTAAGTTTTGCCAAGCAGCATAGTAGCACATGCCAAAATTTGTGAAACGTTGCACTTCTAAGTCAGCTGCCTAATAGTGAATTCATTTTATTGATAAATCACGTCAGTAGTGTCAAACATATGACCTATTTTCTAGCATCCATACTTGTGTTTCTTCAGCTCTTCAATGCCGTGGACTGTTCAGCAACTGATGCTATATTAATCGGTCAAGTAGTCAGCTTTCGAGCTAGCTAGCTATCTGGCTAGTTAAAAGACTGTCTATCCTCCTGTCTGTCTATCCATTTGTCTGTCTAGCCATATCTCTAAGTTGTCAGCAGCTGGTTTAATCTACCGAAGAAGCAATTCAGTGAGAACTGATGAGTTGGTTCACGCTTCCAGCTGACCTGTGCTTCAATATGGAGTGTGGGTGGGCCTAATGCACTGAGAACTAATTTAGGTGGTAGATGAATAAAGTCGACGTGCTGATTAAGAGTCCGCTCATTCCACCTTGTAATCTGTCAGTCTCTTTCAGTCACTTTGGACCATCTCGTTGGGTATACATGAAAAAGTTAGATAGTGCTCCTCGTAACCGAATTTGCCACAGGCTTTCTGACCTTCACTTTCACAGTTGTGCATTGTCTGGACATCCATCAATCAAGTCAAGCTAGTGGTGATTCTAGTCCTTCCATTCTTGTGCAAATCTGGCGTAAACAATTTGTTCAATCTAGAGAATGTATTTCACTAGCAGATCTGACTCAGTTACCATGTTGGCGGTGGTATACGGCAGCTGCTTCAGAAAAGGAGAGAATTCCCATAAACGAACACATTGCCAATCATTTTTGAGTCGTAAACAAGGCTTTTGAAATGAGGGAAGGGTGAAGAATGGTGGATCTCTGATCTGTGGAGTCTGCTGTTATATTATAGAAGTAGGCGCATTTGTATGATTAGGCAGTTGGTCTGAATGCTCCTAGTCATCCAACTCTTCCACACCCCAATTTCCGTAGTTGGACATCAGCTTTACCTCCATAAGTGGGACTAACTGAGCCATCGTATTCGTAAGAGAACTGCTGCATTGCCCAACTCAGCTTTGACAGGAGTTATCAATGATATATCGGTGTAAAGTCTATTGTTAAATTATTAATGTAGGTTCGGCTGGATGAGCCCCAGCATAGTATTCGTGCTTCTTAATATTCCAGTCTTTCTGAGGTATCGTGGAATCCTCATGAATTTTGCGCCTTGCAGTTGTCAGAGGAGACTCCGTTGTTGGAAATATGGGAATAGCAGCGATAGAAGCCACATTCGATGAGTGCTGAACCACCAATGCGAAGCAGCTTAAATGAGTGAATTACGAGGAGTTCACTGAATACACGTGGCTCGCACTAACTAGCAGAGCACAATTTCCCGAAAAAAACGAAAAGGCTTGAGGGCTTTCACATGATGTGAGAAATATGCAAGACCAACCTTCCAAACTAACAACCATGTTTATTACTACACGAGAAATGCAATGTGAAAGTAGTTTTTTTACAAAATCACATAAAAGATCGAGGGAGAGCATTATGGGGACAGTCAAAGGAAGTGCTTACTCAGTGCTACCATAGCTGGTCTGCCCTCCTTATTCGTCTCCACGTAGAGGTCATGGTCGAACATGCTGTTCTCATTGAAGATTGGGATTCCCAGTTTATAAGCAACCATTCCGAGGAACACGTCTTCCGGAGCATAGTTGTATCGCGTGTAGGCCGTTCCAATTGCCATATCGTCAACTACGCCGGGTCCGATGATCTGGGCGAAGCCGCGTAGATATGGGTACATCTTGTCCCAGGGAAATTCACTGTAGGAAAGAAACCACTTCTTCAACGGCGACCGATACGCCAAGTCATAATCGGCTATGTAGCCGAAGGTGGAATATCGCCTCTTCTTCTCGGGGATTCGCTTCATAAATGCATCCACCATGGAGAGATTCACACGATGATCGTCGTCCATGGTCATGAATAGCTTGACATTCTCAGCTCCGCAAAAGGCAGACATCCAGCGATAATTGGTGACGGTTTTGAAGGTCAGGTTATAGTAGGTATCTTCGTAGTCAGCCATCACGATGTCGTCGTGGATGGCAATCTCCTCGTTTAATTTCTCCATTACTTCAGCTGCCTTTCCTTCGAAGGCTTCCAGTTGGTCGCCATCTGGGCCGGTGAGGTTCATGACATGGCCATCGCGATTGAACAGCCTTCCTCCGTGCTGCCGTGGAATGCCGACACTGAAGACGTAGCCGACATTGAGGCTGGGATATCGCTTGTTCTCCAGACGCATGAATTCTCGAAAGGAATTGCGGACGTCCCATCGGAAAACACTGCTCTTGATGACCAGTACGAGGTCATGTTTGGAACCAGCGTGACAGACAGATTTGCTGGTGGCGAGGAGTCGAATGGGAAAATTGTATTTTGGGATCTGAAATGGCGCAAGGAATGGAGCATGTGGATTAGGGGATTCATCACCCTGCCTTGTAAGGTGTTCGTGAAACGGTGTTAATGTGCGTCAGAAGCAATTAGAAACCCGCAAGAATTGCGGTGGATGTAATCGGATTCGCGTCATCCCACTGACCGGATTTGAGCTGAACGACTTTGGATGACACTTAACTGCTGGGTAATATTCGCCTACCTATTGGCATTAAATGTGCCCAATTCTTCCTGGAATCCAATGACAAATGTGAAAGCAGCACCCCTTATCCCTTAATGGACGCGACTTTGTGACTAGTGTGAATTCGCACTTGGAAGTGATGCAATGAAATGCTGCGGCGTTGTGAAAGCAGGGAGTGGTGATAGGAGAAGGAAATTGCGTGGACTGATTTTAATTTTATTCAGAGCTGTAGCCGTAGTGCTTACTAAATTTATGACGAGAGCTCGTCGAACTTATAATTACCTTCGCCACGTACTGAAATCTTCTAGATCTATTTGAATTGCTCCATGGAATTCTTACATACGTTGTTGTAAAAAAACGTGTAATTGAAATATGGATAAAGGGCATTGGCTGAGAAAATAAGAATGAAAGACAGTAGCACTTACGAAACTAACAGGCTTGCCAGCTTTGATATCCTTCACGATTTGCCCCAAAGGAACATCTTGTGGATAAGTTTTGTACACTTCTGGATATCTCACCGTCCTCCAAATTTTTCTTGGCAGTTTCGCAAGATCCTC